GCAGGCTGATTTGGCGTCTTCCCCGCGACTCAGGACCTCGGTAAGGGCGTGCACAGACCTGCCTGTCTGCAGCGGGCTGATTTGGCGTCTTCCACGCAACTCCTATAAATAAAATGTTTAAAGTGAAAGTTGAAAGGTGTTTTGGAAGTAAAAGATACCAACTGATCTACATGGGGAATTTATGTTTTATGCTTTGACCATCGGTTATATTCTAGGTGTTTAAAAATTAATCCATTTATATACAATTCAAATAATGTATATTTTATATCTTCCTGTTAATCAGTTCTATCTCTTATCATGATAGGGAAGGAATTTTTTTCCAGTTACATTATGAAACAGTAGGCTGAAAATATTTAAAAATAAGTATTTGATGATATAATTTGTTTTATTCTGTCTAATCTGTTCATATTTTAATTTGTATTTTCAGCCTATCTAGCAATTATGGTGCTCAAATGAAGAGCCTTTAAGGATTGTAAGGATATTTTGTCATGTCTTTCAAATTGGTCCTTGCTCCCCCAGTAATGGCATCAATATGGGCTACAATGGAAATAAAACTCCAAGAAGCCAGGTGTTCAAGGTCAGAAAAGTATATGATATTGTTAGGAGGATAGACGTAAAAGAGATGAATTGGACAAAGCATGCATTCATTAATCAGAAACCTCAGGAACAGGAGGTAAATTTGGTTCATATCTGTATCACTTTTTAAGTTAGAGACACCTTTCTCCTTTCAATTCTGTCTAAACAACTGGTTAAATTGGTGAACGTCTATTTTTTTTTACACATAAAGTTTTTATTCCGTTAGTATTTTAAGGGTAGAAATATTTAGTGTATAATTTTTTTGACTTACATGTTTTTAATATCATAGCCACCATTTAAAAATATTTATTAGGGAAAGAAGATAGCCAGTTTTTATTAAGTTTTATTTGTGTGTGTTTGTTTAAGAAGTAAGATTACTTTCATTCACTAGTATAATAACAGTTAATTCTTGGGATCGCTTCAAGGAAGAGTCATTGAGATATTTTCTTAAAATATTTTGGATTGCTTCTGCTGCCTCTTTTATACAAGCTCAAAT